CATGAAGCCCTGGTTAGAGCCAAGGGTCACAGACTGAAACGAAGTTGGCCCAAGCTGAAAGCACTATTAGACATGTGTGCAGGCTTGATACATTTGGGAGTAGGTCAAAGTGTCCGAGCACAAATCAGGTTTGTGTAGGGTTCTAATCAGTTTAGGTCGTGAGTGCAGGGACTTGGGTCAAAGTGTCCATGCAAGAATCAGACGTAGGGTTCTAATCAGTTTAGGTCGTCAGTGCAGGGACTTGGGTCAAAGTGTCCGAGCAAGAATCAGGTTTGTGTAGAGTTCTAATCAGTTTAGGTCGTGGGTGCAGGGACTTGGGTCAAAGTGTCCGAGCAAGATTCAGATTTGTGTAGGGTTTTAATCAGTTTAGGTCGTGAGTGCAGGGACTTGGGTCAAAGTGTCCGAGCAAGAATCAGGTTTGTGTAGGGTTTTAATCAGTTTAGGTCGTGAGTGCAGGGACTTGGGTCAAAGTGTCCATGCAAGAATCAGACGTAGGGTTCTAATAAGTTTAGGTCCTGAGTGCAGGAACTTGGGTCAAAGTGTCCGAGCAAGATTCAGATTTGTGTAGGGTTCTAATCAGTTTAGGTCGCGAGAACAGGGATTTGCCAGCTAGTGCTGCAGAATCAGAAGTTCGGCAAGTGATTCATGACAATTCCCGTCTATATCTTGTTTATCGGTGATTTTGTAAACGCATTGATATAAAGACCAATAGACTTACAAAAGGACTTACATTTGAGCTTTATAAATTATAAAGTCATATGGTCAGATTGGCTGCCTCTGTGAATAAACATATCAGTTGCAGATCCCTCGTCTCTCTCTATAGCTTGCTCTGAGTGAAGGCAATCCCGCCAGGACCTCACAACGAGTGATAAGCACCCGGTGACACAACGTGCCATTATACAGTTTACAATCACTCAGGTGCATGTAATAGAAACCCGGTTTAACCATTAGGGTATACTAGGGCCCCCACAACAACCGGAGTGAGGCTTTGAAATAACGTAAAATTCCGTCCCATATTTTTTTTAGCTTGGCTAAACCTGATTTCTCAAAGACCGAGAGATGAACTCCTTGTGGTCCGGGTTCACGCTCAAGGGTAGGCAGAAAAGCCATATTTCTCCCAGATTTACTGTATTTATCACGGAATCAAGGCCGAAGGGTTGCGATATCCATAATACCGAGCCTAAGGGTGAACTCATGTTTTCTGGATATTTAAAAAAAAAAAAAAAACTGACAACGCACATTTTGCGGTTTCCTTTTTTTCTTAAATCAAGGGAGACAACCAAATGTAAGAAAGAGTTCGCAATCGTGAGTAGCCCTTAGTGATTTCTATCTCGTTCACTTGTATGCTCTGTTGCCGGGACCTGTCCTGGGTGATCCTCATCCTAATGGTGGCACTTTGTTTCACCGAGTGTTTGTCGCCAGGTGTGATGTCCTGGTGGGGTTGAATGTCAATCAATCAATCTCCCCATCACCCTTCCTCTACTTCCTCCTCCTTCTATATCTTCGTCTTCCTCTTTGCAGTTCTCAGCGAAGTATAGGCCCTCAACCAATAAATAGCTTGCTGAATTTTGTATATCATGGATTGTCTGTCCCTGATATTCTAGTGTGCGAGGTAAAAATTGGCCGCTGACGCTCCTTTGGGTGATGAGCTATTATATGATAAATTGGGTGTGGTGAAGGCTTAGGGTAGGCTTAGGCCGAACGATTATAACAGACCAAACAATTTATCCAGGCATCGAAGATGTGGTTTTACAGAAAAATCCTTAAAATTTCTTAGACAGCTGAAAAGAGCAACCCAGATGTGTGGAAAGAGGCGAAAGCTAGAAGACAACTTACCAAAAACATCAGAAAGAGACAGCCATCATTTTGTGCGCACGTGAGGAGGGAAACTGGAATATGTACCACTGGAAAGATCTGTGGAAAATGGGACAGAGCAAGACAGCGCGAGAAGAATCTTGGCAGCCTTTTGTCTTGGCATGGAGGTGTGTCAAAACACTATCTGAAATACGAAGTTGCAGATCGCAGATAGTAGAGAAGCATGATCGAGTACGACAGACGACCATTCTCTTGATGATGATGATGATGTCGATATTATGATGATGCTGATGATGATGAGGCTTAGTCACAAACACACACCCATTTGTTGAAAAAATTTATAGAGAGGACCCCCTTTTCCTTTTATCTTGGCTGGTGGAGGCTCGGAGAATCAGTGTATCTGCAGCGTGCCATCTTGACACATGGGCACGAGGGCCCCACAAGCACAGGGGCCACATGGTAATCTGTGAATGAGTGGGTGACATTTAACCCCACAACGAGCAATAAACACCCGGTGACAAAAAGTGTCTCTAATCGGACGAGAATCACCCGGGTACATGTCCCAGAAACTCCGCTGAACCGGTACCGTTAAGTTACATTAGGGCCACCTACTGCAGCCTGGTGGTGGTGGTGGGGGGGGGGGGGCTTTAAAATAATGATAAAATAAAAAAAATACTTCCCTATTTATGGCGAGGTTAGATATATAATAATATGTGCATGTTAAGTGACTATTTCTATTTTATTCTTGTGAGTGGCTCTCGTAGAAGCATCATTACACTGGTTTGCACAGTGGTATGTAATACTGTTCAAGGCTGCTCAGCCTTCGGTGTCTCTGTAGAGCAGGGCTATTCAACTAAGGGGCCACAATGTTGAAAAACGGGGATCGTCGACTTCAGCTCCAGCATAGAAAGATCGAAAATACAATACAGCTAGAATTTATCCGCGGGCCACTTGCTAGGCCTTGGCAGGCCATTTTTGGCCCGCCTGTTGAATATCCCTGCTGTAGAGTGTAGTAATTGTTTAACCCCAGCTTACCCCTCTGTCCCCAACGGTAACCCTAGAACCCCAGTCATGACTAACACATCACGTCCATGACTGTCAAGCTGTCAGGCAAGGCTGTGTCGCAGCTTCTACGCATGCGTGACTGCCAACTTCCTCTTCCGTGTGTCAAAATATAGGCGTATTATTCCACCCTTCTTTTTTTTCGGAGAAATCTACATGCTGACGGCAGGTTTATTTAACTACTTCAGCTTCGCCGGTTTATTTGAATTAATTTAGAATATGAAATGATTCTTTAATGTGGTTTAAATTATGTCAGGTGTTTTTGTTGGCTATGAATTTTGTTTTAGTGAATGATTCATCCAAGTTGCCGGCTTAGAAGAGAAGCAAAGTACTTTCATAAACAGGAAGAGAAACACTGAAAACTCACTTCTCGGCAAAGTTGTTGGTGTTTTATGTTTTGTTTGAGGATATATAAATGTTTTGATGCACATCAGCTATATTTTATAACGAATTTAAGATATTTTTTTTTTTGCTGTGTTACTGAAAAACGAACAAGAATGTTAACCATTTCCCATGTCAAAAAGGGCCCAGGGCACCACCCATCGCCGTTATTCGTTATGAATGATCGCTTATGATGATGATTCATTGTTTAATTAAATGGAACCTTTTCAGCCGCGTTCAGTCACAGCTTTGGTTGAGTTCACGGGTCTACCAGTTTTTATATTTAACCAGTATAACTTCAGATATTCTTTTGCTTTTAGACTTAGTAAAAAAGTAGATTTTATTTCTTAGCTACTTTACTAAATACTAAGTCCATGTTGAATGTTGTTGACCTATTTTTTTTTTTTTTAGTCTTTTAGTTTTATATTTAACCTATGAAGTCCCAACATGAGCTTCTTCACTTGATTATATTTATTATTTAACTAATGTGGTTCTTATTATAACTTGAACTTCCCTCTTCCTCCATCTCTTTTTTCCCTTCTGTAAATGTTTCCCTTCTGTAACTTTAACTGAAGGACAGCTGTTTTAGGAATCATGATCCAACTGTCTTTTAGTGATTAACTCAGTTTGAAACCAGACACCTGTTTGTTAATGCTCATTCTATCACTGACAGTTATTCTGTAAGTTACCTCTCACCCAGATGTGTGTGGCGGTAAAGTGTTTACACCATGGGGTAAAGAGAAAGTTAAAATAAGTGGTTGCTAGAGGGCAGTGGGTGTCTTCACCCCCCCCCCCCCACCCATTGAAATCCTGGAATCAACACTGGGAAATATTAACTAACTAGATATCAAACCAACTTATTACATTAACTAGATATCTAACCAACTTATTACCTAACTATTTACTGTTTGATTAACATACTATAAAGCTGACTATCTGAACTAACCTGTCCTGTCTTTATTTTTATTGTCTGCATCTGCCGCTTCTTAGGGCAAGTGTAGGGCAGGGGAGTCTTGACCGTAATGATTAAAGGCTTCATGTCTAATGCAATTGCCATGAACTGTGCAGGTTATATAGGTTAACATTTTTAGTTTTGCTGTTTCAGAAACAGATCCATCATCTTACGGAGGGTTCCATCATCTTACTGAGGGTTTCATCATCTTACTGAGGGTTCCATCATCTTACTGAGGGTTCCATCATCTTACTGAGGGATCCATCATCTTACTGAGGGTTCCATCATCTTACTGAGGGTTCCATCATCTTACTGAGGGTTCCATCATCTTACTGAGGGTTCCATCATCTTACTGAGGGTTCCATCATCTTACTGAGGGTTCCATCATCTTACTGAGGGTTCCATCATCTTACTGAGGGATCCATCTTACTGAGGGTTTGAATTTGGGTTTTCTGATTGAAAGCCTAACTACTCTGCCAGTTACTAACTTACTGACCAATTAACTAGCTTACTAATTTATTAACTTACGAACAAATTAACCTGCTAACTAATTTACTAACCAACAAATAAACTGATTAACCTAACTAATGAACTAACATATTTATTAATGAACAATTTAATTAACTTACTAACTGATTAACTAACTTGCCAACTAGTTAACTAACTTTTTAATTACTTATTAACCAACACACAAATTGGCCTATTAACTATACCACTTACTAAAATGCCTTAGTTTATGTCTTATGGTGCTCATTTAATTACTCTTTTTTGTATTTATCCAAACAGAGCAATGGCGTTTATGAGAAAAAGCAAGTTCCGGCATGTCTTTGGTCAAGCGCTCAAAAGGGACCAGTGCTATGATGCCATTCGGGTGACCCGCACATCTTGGGAGTCAACGTACTGTGCTGTCAACCCCAAATTTCTTGCTGTGATCACTGAGGCAGCTGGCGGTGGGTCCTTTCTAGTTCTGCCACTAGCAAAGGTAGGCTGTAGATATTGTGTAGTCCCCTTATAGCAGTGGCTCTCAACCTTCCCAATGCTGCGACCCTTTAATACAGTTCCTCATATTGTGGTGACCTCCAACCTGAAAATTATTTTCGTTGCTACTTCATAACTTCAGTGAGCATGTGTTTTTAAATGGTCTTATGCGATGCCTGTGAAAGGGTCATTCGACCTTAAAAGAGGGCACGACCAACAGGTTGAGAACCGCTGCCTTATGGGCATCTGGGGAAAAAAGTGGAGAGAATAGATCCTCAGCTGCTTAACTCTTCCAGGCCCAAACAGTTGTGACTGGATTTTCTCCTTTGCACCTGTTAACATGTTATAATGTTTTATGTGATGAGAAGGAGAAAACTGGAGTACATCGTGACAGCAGGAAAGTTGGAGGGGAGGAAAGGCGGAGAGAGATCGAGGAGAGAAAAGATGCTGGACAATTTGACATTATGGCATGGAGGATTGTCTGTGTCAGAGTTGATTGAAAGTACACAAGACAGAAGGTTGTGGATAGACATGACTACCAATGCCACACAGCATGGACTATAAGAAGCAGAACGTTTTATGTTTAATCAGGGCATGCTAAAAGACTCAGCAGCATGTTTGTCTCCCATGAGCGATGTGTGTTTGGGCCCTGTGGATGTAGTTCTAGGGTGGAAGGAGTTAACAAACATGTCATATAAATGCGACTAACTGGGTATGCAGAAATCGAATGAATTGAGTCTAAAGACACAAATATCTGACACACATGCTAACTGCCCCTTTAAGGGGGAACGCAGAAATATAGTTCCTAATATTCCTAATGTGGTATATAGGTATATCTTGTTTTTTTGTTTGTGTGTAAAAGTATATTGTAGTGTAAAGTATGGGTCTATTTTAGTGTAATGTAAGGGGGGGGGGATATTTTCTGATGCTGCTAGCTATGGTATGGTGTGGATATCATATAGTTTTTATATAGGGTAGTGATACAATTATTGGTAATGTAATGTAGTGAAGAAAGACCTTATAATTTGTCCATAAGAATCTGTTGCAATGTGATTATCATTATCATGTGTCCTGCCCAGCAATCAGCAATTGAGGTCATGTATAATGTACAATACAGTTTAAGTTAGTTGCGTTTCCTTTACATGACGTTACAGAACCAACCCCAATTTTTTTTAATGTCCAGTGCCATTGCTTTCTGAACGATCAGCTCTCGGTACCACTATCAAAATCATCAGGGCAAGACAAATGGTCTGCGGCTTGGATCGAACCCGGCACCCCGGCATTATGAGGCACTTTAGCAACACCTAAGCCACAGATGCCGACAATAAAGATGATCTCTGAAATTAACAATGATACGGCCAATCTTGGCATGAAATGTTCTTTGTTGGCAACTGAAGCATGGATCAGAGCATATGTAGGAATTTTTCTGAGTGTAGTTATTTCAATTCCTGACTCAGTTAGTCATTCATCTGTACAAATGTAAAATGCCATTCATCTGTACAGATTTAAAAGATTCATTGATTCATCTGTACATATTAAAAACACCATTAATCAATTTTTCTGCAAATTTAAAACATATTTCACTTGTACAAATTTAAAACATCATTCATTTATCTATGCACATTTAAAACATCATTCATTCTTCCATCTGTACACATTAAGAACATAATTTATTGTTTTATTAATACATATTTAAAGCATCATTCATTCACCGGTACAAATTTTAAAACATCCTCCATTCATTCTCCCTTATGAGTTCCAGGGTCACATTTTGGGGAGAAAAGGAAATGTACCCACAGCCCTCTAACCATCACTGTTTAAGAGTGTGCTCAAATCAAATCCTTTGAGCTGAATAGTGCAGTAAAAACAACACGTGTCAACCATCCTTTTAAGGGTTGAGTCAAGAATTGACATCACAGCACTCGGGGCATTCCCATGTGTGCTCTGTCCTCATCTTCATCAGCCAGCGCAGTTCCAATACAATACAATAATGGTACCAGTAACTATCTGGTTATATGTTTGTCTTGCCTTTCCTCTGAGTGTAGTGAGCCGGCCGGACACTCTGGTTACACCAGTATGCCTCATTCTCTCCAGGCTATAATAATCTTCTTTCTCTACTGATTCTGTTGCTGTTCCCAAAGGGCCTTTTAAGGGTTGTTGCAATAGAAATGTAATTCATTATCTGTACAATTTAAACCTCTTCTTTTGACCTACTGTTGTAAATTTTCATGGAGAAGAGTTATAGTTTTCTGTCTTTTGCTAGTTGCCAAGCTTGGGTTAAATAACATATTGTGTTTCGATAGTCTCTTTAACTCCCCCCACCATCCGTTTCTTAGTAGGGCTCTTGCCTAGTAGCCTGGTGTTGTCATATAGTATGCTCTAGCTGATCTTGTTCCATTCTGATAAGATGACCAAACTATTTGATTCTTTGATATTCTTTGAAATCATTTACCAGTAAAATTGAAACGTTCATTTGAACAACCTTAATTCTTTAACACAGACAGGGAGAGTCAGCATAGACCACCCAATGGTTTCTGGACACAAAGGAGCTGTTCTGGACATTGCCTGGTGCCCACACAATGACAACATTATTGCTAGTGCAGCCGAGGACTGTGCCATCAAAGTGTGGCAGATCCCCGATGAGGGGCTCAAGGAGAACCTTACAGAGTCTGTGGTGGACCTCTTGTCTCACCAGCGGAGAGTGACACTGCTTCAGTGGCATCCTACAGCCATGAACGTCTTGCTCAGCACAGGTAAATTTGATATCTTTCTTCTGCCTGTTTGCCATTAAAAAAAAAAAAAAATAAAGTCTGTTGGCAGTGTTATGGTTTACAACGAGACTAAGATATCTGCCTTTTGGCCCAACATATCCAGTTAAATCAGGTCAATGGTCTTATACCTTTTCCAGGTGTGTCCCCCCCCCCCCATCCCCACAGGCCAAATATATCACAAGGACTCCCGCCCTTCCACGTAACAAAAATTGAATAAAAACAGGACACAGAGAAAGATACATCCACATAAACCAGAGTATCAAATAACAAAAGAAAAAATCACCAACTAGTAATTTTATGTCCAAATATCAGTGTTATGGTTGACACTATTTTGTCTTCATGATTTCTTCTATTTTTGGTTTATAGTTTGACAAAAGCGCCAACAGAGATCACTCCCCACATCAAGCTGGCAGCGCTGTTTTGTCTTCTTGACTGTTAAAGCTGCAAATTCTGATTATTACAAGTACCAGTGCACTCAATTTCAAAATTGCCGGACATCCCTGGCCCCCCCCCCCTCCCCCCCAGGAGAAACTGTGCAGAGAGGGAAGACCACTGCCCCAATTGATTGTATTCGACAACTTGCTTGTTAACTCTTTAAGGATGATATTTTTTCTGGGGTTCGGACATCATTCATTTGGAGCTGAATTTTTTTATTTTTTTTTACTGCAACATAGAAAGCTAAAACCTTCCAGAAAAAAAATATTAGCTATATAGTAACATATAATAGATCACATTAAAGTGAAATTAAAATAAAGTACATTTAAACTATTCAAGTGTCAGTGTTACAACAGCAAAATATTAAAATGAGACAATATTCAAGAATGCTAGACACACATGATGATTTTTTACAAATGAAATTTTGTACTTACCTTACTTTTTTACTTGAATTTATATACCTTCTCTATTCAATTATGTATCAGCTACTCTTTAATTGAAACAGTTAATCTAAAAACTTTGGATTTTGTTACCAGTTTTGTATGACATGTCACATGTACACAAAATTCAAGATAGGTGTATCAGCCATGTGCACCTGTGGAAAGGTGCCCAAGACAGCAGAGCATGTACTCCAGGACTGCACCAAATTTGACACATTAAGGCAAACCTTTTGGCCAAAAAGAACAACAGTGAAACATGAACTCTATGGACCACTGAATGAACTAATAACAACGACAGTGAAATTTATATCAGAGACAAAACTGCTGATGTAGACAACTTATTTCAGGCGAACAAAAGAAGAAGAAGAAAAAGTATGACATCTCGGATGTCACAACAACCAAATTCCGGTCACAGCTGATCAAAACAGGGATGATCCGATTGAAATATTTTGTTCAACTTCACCATAACCTATATTATCAGCAGTAGGTTTGGCACTGTTAATCAAAACATTGAGACTGTTGTCAGTATATGGCTCAGATTCAACAGCAGCAGCAGTAAGGACAGTTCTAGACCATTTCCCTTTTCTATTTGGTCTGGAAAATCACACAAAACTATTATCACTGAATTAATTAAAAACAAATTGAAAATTAAACCTATCGCTTCACCCTGCCTGGAAAACAATAATACTTCTTTTCGCTAATTCTAATATTTCAAAACATATTCATACAGATTCATACAAATTAATTTTCCTGGCAAATGAAACAATATTAAAGAGCCACTTAAGTTACGTCCACGGAGAGTTAAAGGCAGTAGGCCTGCCAACCTTCTCAGGTTCACTAGTTACACTCACCAGTGCCTGCCCCCCTATAGCAGAGCAGGAAACACAGAAATGATAGAGAGGGATCTGGAGCCCCATTGTGTGTGTATGTGAGGTGGGGGATATGCCCCCCCCCCCCCCCCACCACCCACCCACCCACATATACACCTAACAGTTTTGTCATAATTGTAGTCTAATTAACAGATTTTTCTTTTGAAGTCAGAGGGCAAAAAGAATGCATCCACTTTAAGTAGGCAAATTCCTACCTCTAAATTTTAAGGAAAATCTAATAATATAAATAATGGTAGCGGTTAGATTCTTATTGGTTGAAACCTGAGTGTTGCGTGCATATCTGTTTTACAGATATGGCCTGTTTACATGCAGACTCTTGCTTTCCTGCCTCTCAGGCAGATATGTTTCTTGTGGAGGCAATGGGTCTATTTTTGTTTTCCCCACAATGGGCCCTGGAACCCAGATAGGGTAATTCTTATCTCAGCTCTTTGTCACTCTTTTCATAAATCTCTTCATTTATCATAGTAGGTATTCATTCGTTTTATTTCAGGATCCGATAATGTGATCATTCTGTGGAACGTTGGCACGGGTGAAGCCATTCTGCAGGTGGACATGCCCGACCAGATCTATTCCGTCTCCTTCAACCTTGACGGCAGTCGATTTGTTTGCACATGCAAAGACAAGAATCTGCGTATTCTTGACACACACACTCTAGAAGTCTTGCAGGTATGTTAAGGTTGAGTTTTCTTTGGAGCACATGTACAAGGTCTCCTCGACTTAACGACCAGTTTCTGTTCTAACTAATAGGTCGTAAGTTTAAATTGTTGTAAGTCAAATTCATGTTTTTCAATACTATTTTTATTCAAACGAGTTTAAAAAATTGTACATAAAATACAAACATACATTGTATGTGTATGTAGTTATTGTATTTAATGTGAAAGATTTGCATCAGTTCTTGGATCTTTTTTAACCATACTAATGTAGTTATCTATTTACTATTTTTATTGACTTAGTGGTTTGGATTCATAAGTCACATAGGTTGTCATTTGAGGAGAAGATGTACATTTATTGATTTCTCCATGTATCTTCTGCTTTCTTCTTTGCATTCACTAGCTGTAAACTCCAGCGGAAAGTTCTGGTTGTTCATCCACTTCTGGACTGTAGTCCTGTTCCAGAACCTGAATGTTGCATGTGCATCCGTTTGATGCTCAGGCTTCGAAAGAAGCTCCCAGCTAGTTGACACTAACGACACGCTTTTGGGTAGGCAGTGGGTCTATTCTTGTTTTGCCTATAATAGGGTCCCGGAAGCCACACAGGGAACTCCAATAATGTTAGCTAGTCTGACCCCCTTCATCATTGTTTGTGTCTCCTGGCCACCCTTGTTTCATAAATCCATTTGCTTTCATTTTCAGTGCCTGTTTGTGGGATTCTCTTGTCTGAGTCTGCTCAGGATGGGCCCAGTATATCACTCTCCTCCTGTCTTACAACTGTCGATTCCACTGGTTGTCCAGATATTCCTAGGATTTTTCACCTTTTTTTAATTTGTTCTAATTATTGTTTATCTGCACCAAGCAAAATGTTTTTGAGTTCATGTAACTCTCCTTCTGCCTTTAGTACCTCTCCAGCCACTAGAGCAGTGATTCCCAAACTATGTGCCGCAGGGTGCTGCGACCTCTTCACAGGCGCGCTGCCAAAATATTGTAAAAACTTCGTTTTTATTTTAACCAATACAGGAATAGTCATACTTTTATTTAGGTAGGAGCCCGTGGAAAAAATTAATTGAAAAACAGGTGCTGCGGCCAAGAAAAGTTTGGAAAACGCTGCACTAGAGTATATTAAAATTTTAACAAAAAACTGAATAGTTCCGGGTTATACTCGTGTTTTGGAAAACGAGCCAGCAGATAGACTGGTTGGTTCTGCACCACTCTTTGGTAAACTGATGCCTGAAAGAGACAGAATGATGTAAAGGGGCTCTTGACCATCAGAGTTGGAACTCTTCACTGGCTGCTGAAGATGGGGACGGGGCACTTGTCCTGAGTGCTAGGATTTTATGGTTCTTGAAACCTCAACTCGGCTAAACAAAATGTAAATAATAATAGAACTAAAAATATGTAAACAATATTAATTAGGTTACACCATATTTCTTCCAGGAAGGCAAAGGTCACCTCGGAGCAAAGCCAGCTCAATGTGTTTACCTGAAGAATGGCCAGGTGTTCTCTACAGGTTTTTCAAAAATGAGCGAACGACAGTATGCCTTATGGAATGAGGTGAGTTGCCTTATTCTCTTCAGCGATATCTAAAATGTTACACCATCTTTGTCATCATCATTATCATGAAGCAGGTCCTTTCCATAACGTTGCTCAAATCACAGTCTGCCTAAAAAAAAATCGGTCTGTGGCCAGCTCTTCCGCTCATGCACTTTCTTACCCAAGGTGTCACTTGTATTCTATGCCCATCTCCGTGCTGGTCTATCCCTGCCCTCTTTTTTGGTACAATGCTTTCTACTGTAAAAAATTTTTTCAGTCTGCTGCAGCGCTTGATATGACCAAAATACTTCAGTTTCTGAGACTGTTTACTAGCCAATCTTCCTTGATGTTCAGATCTTGCAGGATGTCAGTATTTCTGTTTTATCTTTGTCCTTGGTATTCCTTCTATAGCATTTCGGCTCTAAAGCCTTTATTTTCTTCTTTAATTCTTTCATTTTGGACAGAGCAGATATCATCAATGCTGCATGGACTAGGTTAGTGGCGAATCTCTGACGCTAACATGACTGCATGACCGAGGAGTTAAGCTTGGTAAAGCATAACTTTGCCGTCTTTAAGGAAAAACAGGAGATTTATAACCAACTCCTCATGGAAACAATCAGTAGAGGTACCTTAAAGTGGCTGCTGCATTGGAGGACTGAGCACGCCTGGGGATGCCCGGTGTGCAAAGACGTCGATTGTGATAACATAACATCTTTGTGCATTTCTGAATTATTCAGATATAAAATAATTTACAAGCTGCCTTCTGTAGAAGAATGTTATATCAGTCCTTATTGTCTAGATTACTAGTTTAACTTCTTATGTCTCATTGTGTCCTCAAGATCAAATTAGTTTCTGTTGTTAAGTGAAGGAGAAGGAGACAAACACAGTTCTTTGGTCATGTGATGAGAAAAGAACCACTGGAAAATATCTTGACAACTGAAAGATCACTTGTAAAAGAGACAGAGGCAGATCATGAGAAAAGATGACAGATGGCTTAAGACAGTGGCATGGAGAAATATCATCAGTAGAATTGATCCAGAACACCAAAGACCCAGATCTGTGGAGATGCATGAATGCATACCTCAGCTGGCAAGGCACTTGATGATGATGCTGTTAAATGAATGACTTTGGGGTAGAAAGGGTTAAAGTAATGGCTGCTTCGGATTGAAAGAGTTGAGGACAGCTAGATAGTCCACAACTCACGTTCGTAGGTTGCTACAGGGAAGATGCATGCTCTAAGAATTTGGACTTTGATCCATCTGTGTTGTCGTCTTGTAGTCCATTTGGCGTTTATAGCCATATCAGTATGTGGCTCTTGTAAAACCTGTATTTTGTTTCTTACATTTCTGAATACTGTGGCTCATTAAATTCATTTTGTATTGTTTGGTTAATATGTTATATTTTGTATGTAACCTTTCAGGAGAAATATTCTCATTGTTTTCAGTGTTCCTTTAATATATTTCAAATGAGGTATCTCATTATGTTAATTGCATGTGTGTGATTTGTTATATTTCAAATGACTTAGCTCATTGTAGTGTTTTAATTTTTTTCGTTACATTCCAAATGAGTGTTCTCATGGATCGTTTCAGAACGATCTTCATTCATTTTTTTTCAATACTTTATTTGGTTTGTTACATTCCAGAATGACCTGAGTTCACCGGTGGTGATAGAAGAGATCGACTCCAGCAATGGTGTCATGTTTATCTTCTACGATCCTGACACAAATATGGTGTATCTGGCCGGAAAGGTGGTTGTCTATTTTGTCTTAATTGTATTTTTTAAATTTAAGTATAGGAATAATTATATGTACTGTTAGAAAAAATAATCCCACACATACAGTTATCCGACGACTTTTTCCTGTTCAAAAATGAACAAAAAACGCATAGTTCCTGAAAGGAAATATTTTTGACATTCAGAATGTTTGTAATTTATTGAGTAAAATTGTTTAAACTATGCACAAAAATACCTCAAGGCTTAACCAATCAGTTAACATTTCTTGTACATCTAGATCATTAGTAGTCTGCACTTTAAACTATGCACAAAAATACCTCAAGGCTCAACTAATCAATTAACAATTCTTGTACATCTAGATCATTAGTAGTCTGCATACAAATAAGTCATATCTATAAAACAGATGCACACGCAACACTCAGGTTCTGGAACACGAATGCAGTCGAGAAGTGGATGAACAACCAGAACTTTCCGCCAGAGTTTACAGCTGGTGAGCACGAAGAAGAAGAGTCACTAAAACTAGTGTATTGTTAGTGATGCAGATAAAATAATTTTTTTTCTCAAAGATATTTGCTTTTCTTTCTGATCCAGGGCGACAGTTTAATCCGCTACTACGAGATAACTGACGAAGCACCATATGTCCACTTTCTAACTCTGTACCAGTCAAACGCACCACAGAGAGGTATCGGCTTCATGCCGAAACGAGGACTCAATGTAAACAACAATGAAATTGCCAGGTGGGTTAGAGTGATCTCTCTTGCTTTTTTTGTGGCGGTGTTGTCTCTCCATATGGGTTTCTGGGGACTCATTTTTGGCTGGGGGAGGGAAAATAGACCACTGCCCCCCCCCCACCCCGCCCCTCTTCTCCCCAATTCCCAACAAGCATGCTGTAAAAGCAGCAGTAGTTGAAAGTACCATTTTCCATGCCATTAGGCATATTAGATAAGCCTATATTTTATAAACCAGTTGGCACTCAGTGGGTGATATGGTCAACTGACTGTCTTTACTTCCCAGGACTTTACCTGGTGCTCATTTAAGGCTGGGTCAACCTGGGAGCCAAGGTAATTTGATAAAGAAAAAAAAAGTCAAAACTCTGTTAGGAAAAGCTAACTACCTTCAGATATGCAGGTGAGCATTTAGCCCCTACACCTTGGAGGCCCTCACTGATTAGGAGTCAACTGAAATCGAGTCTATTGTTTCTTTAGTTCGATGTCTTTTTCACGCCTCCTCTCTTGCGAATGTCTTCGAGGCTCCATGTGAATGGTTCCTCTGCTTCTAGTGTTGAGCTGGCATCTCTACGATTGAATGTTCTTTTTGAATTAAAGTAAAGTAAAGTCGGGAGATGTGAACCAGCGTCGTTGCACAAGGTTATAAACCATAAGTGCTCTATCACCAGTACAGACAGCTGATAAGAATTGTCCGCCTGTGTTGCCGTTCGCACGTAACTCTGTAGCTACAGCGACGTTCCTCCAATTACCCCAGAGTATCCCTCTGGTACCCATTTCCTAGAGGCTGGGTGAACCCCGGGAGCCGCCCGGTTTCGAACACTGACCGTGGGCTGCAGCGAGTCGCAGCTGGATTTGAAAGCGAGCTTCTTATCGACTGCGCTAACAGTTCTTGTGACAGTCCCCAGGGATCTCCTTAAAAACTGCTTGTGAACTGAATTACACATCTGTGCAGAGAACCAACAACCTTCAGAACCAGAACTTGAGGCAGATAACTCGACCACTCCTTCATGGAGACCCCCAAGCGATAATAAAGATTGTGGCAGTAATCAAGTGAAAAACACTTTTCCACAACTTCAGGCCTTTAGGTTTAAACCTATATTTTGTAGACCAGTCAGCACTCAGTGGGTGATATGCTCAACTTCACACCGATCACCTTTGCCTCCCAGAACTTTACCTGATATCCGTTTAAGTCTTAATCTACCTGAAAGCCAGTTTTTTTTTTTTAACGCAGTCGTTTTTAGTCAACCTTTCCGTACACGGGATGGGCAGCTTACGCCTCAAAAAAAAATCACATCTCCGCGGCCTCCGAGTTCTTCCTAATTTGTTTATTCAGATTTCAAGATTCACAGCCACATAGCAGCACTGGTTCACCTGTACAAGCCACATAGCAGCACTGGTTCACCTGTACAAGCCACATAGCAGCACTGGTTCACCTGTACAAGCCACATAGCAGCACTGGTTCACCTGTACAAGCCACATAGCAGCACTGGTTCACCTGTACAAGCCACATAGCAGCACTGGTTCACCTGTACAAGCCACATAGCAGCACTGGTTCACCTGTACAAGCCACATAGCAGCACTGGTTCACCTGTACAAGCCACATAGCAGCACTGGTTCACCTGTACAAGCCACATAGCAGCACTGGTTCACCTGTACAAGCCACATAGCAGCACTGGTTCACCTGTACAAGCCACATAGCAGCACTGGTTCACCTGTACATTTCAGTACTCTTTTTATGTCATCATGGATGAGGACATTCTTCTAGTCCATGCTCTGTGGCATTGGCAGTCATGGCGTCTCTGTTGGTCTCCCTCTGCCTCTCTTTCCTCCCAGCTTTCCCACTGTCATGATGTGCCCCAGTTTTCCCCTTCTCCTGATGTGAATAAAGAATGTAGATTGTCTCCGTCTGGTGTGGGCAGTCTGTTCTCGCCAGGGCATTATTTTGACACACCAGCAACAACAAATTCTTTTTAACAGCAGTTAAAAACAAAAAAGTGCAGTAGGAGAATTCTGTTGAAAATAGGGGAGGTCAATATTAAGTTAGGTGTTAGTCTTTTCTCTTGAGCCTAAGGTGGCGCATAGGGCATAGCTCTCCATGTCTGGCTGTTTGTTGTCACCTGATTCAGGTCTTGGATGTTCATTTGGCCTATATTTGAGCCTTCCCTGATAATGGTTCTATGCAGAGTCTCTCTTGGTCTTCCCCGTTTTTCTTTTCCTTTTTAGTGATCATATAAGGACTTTATGGGTCTTGTCTTATCCATTCTGAGTGCACGGCCGATGTAATTCCAGCGGTGCTTTCAATAAGTAAATCACAAATCGTTGTTTAAAAAACTAAAGACGATAACAACTTGAAAACCCTTTATTTTTTACACATACTCTGTCCCTTTTTTTTTTCAACATCGTTTCCACATCAATGCACTTGTTCCATTGTTTTATCAGTCTTCCCAAACCTGCGTGCTCTCTTTTCTAAACCACATTTTCACTTCACTTTCATCTTCTGCTCATTTATGAAATGTCTCCCACCAAGGGGGGTTTCTAGTGGACCAAAAAGATGGAAATCACTAGGGGCTTAGTTGGGGGCTGTAAGGTAGATGTTCCAGAAGTTCCCACCCTAGATGGTTAATTTTCTCCTGAATTAGCTGATTCATATGTGGTCTGGCATTGTTATTACAAATGTGAAGACAAGAACTAGTGCTGACTGTAACAGTGACCACGTCCTATTATTTGGAAAATTAAATGTACGACTGAAGAGGGGAAAGAAAGAGATGAAAAACTGTAGACTAAACAAGGATATTGTAAGAGAGGATAAAGACATTCAGAAGTGATATAGAGTGATTGTGAGAAACAGGTACAATGCAATAGCAAAAATACAAACGATAAATGATCAGTGGGAAATGCTGAAAGAGTCTATCAATTTCTGTTTTGCTATTTGCTTATGCCAAGTCATTTTATCTTTGCTATTATGTGAAGCTCACCCCCCAAGCACATCTCGTAGTTTCCACATCTCCGTGGTGAAGTGGTCAAGCCATTTGCCTCACGATCTGAAGGTCTCGTGTTCGTTTCACAGCAGAATCGTTCAGTTCATAAGTGCAGTGTTTACAGATAACCCTTGGGATTGTTGCCGGAGCTACAGAAGTCATGCTCTGCGCTATGCTCTCTGCAGGCAGCTAGCTGTTCTGCGAATAGAGACTAAGCCAAATTGGATAAAACCCGGTGCAATGAAATCGATTTTCTCACCTTTAGCGTTATAGTTTTTACTTTTCTAATTCCCTTCTTCATGTGTTTTTATGGTCTGCTTTTATTGTTTGACTCTGTGGGTGCCATATTATGAATGTACTATGTCTCCTCCACACTTGATCTTTCTAGTGCAGATTCAACACTGACTCTGTTGTCTGTTAGGTCACAGCTCATTCTAACTAGACGGCACTTCTCTCCACGGCCACACAACTTTAAATGACGGTCGACAACGGCTGGCACATTTCACAGGTTTATTGTCACTGTAGCACAAGACACGAATCAACAGATGAACTAACTTACGCCATTCGGGCAATCTCGCCTTGCTCACGCATTGAGTCTCCAGACAGGCTTCAGACGATGGACACTGGCATGTACACGACTGGCTCAACAAACAAATCTTGTAACACAACTACTGGCCTAGACGATCATTCAATAGCGCTGCCTGTCTTGTTGTTCAGCACTAACATTCATTCGACTCTGATTCAGATCCACGTGCACTCTTCATTCTGGATTCACCTTCACAGATTCAGCTTCACATCCTCCCAGTCTGGGGCCCAGTCACCGAATGACCACCTCATTCTCAATCCCCCAGATCTCGCATTCACACGTGACTCACTCACTCTTGTCTTTTCACCATATCTCCGTGAAACCCATGCTATCAGGGACTTGCCCAATCATGCCAGTCATCCCCTGACGTTATTCCTATTTATAGCATCATTACAGGACTTTCTAGTTATATTATCAGTGTTTCATGTCATATTAATTGCTGTAATTAATTTTCTCACAGATTCTACAAGCTACACAATACAGGCCTCTGTGAGGTTATTCCCTTCACTGTTCCAAGAAAGGTAAGCACACAGTTATTTTTTATAAACTAAACTAAACTTTGGAGAATCATCATCCTGTAGCAGGTCCTTTGTAGAATCTCGCTGTCATCACAGCCTGCCTGAAAGAAACTCGAGGATCTCTCACCAAATCTTCTGCTTTATGCACTTTCCTGCCTAAGGTATCACTTACAAAGTTTGCAGTCAGGCAGTACGTCAAGATCTTGAAACCCAGGCCTTACCAGCTCAAATGGATCAGTCATAGTTATGATGGTTTGGTCATGAATGTAGAATGAGAGAAAATCTGCTACCACAGCAGGCATGGGAGGCTAAGAACTAGGGAACCAGACCTCCAGTGGGACCCATGGTTCACTGGGAAGACAACATTCCACAGTCCCTGACTGACAGAGGAATTGAATGGAACAAAGCTAGAGAAAAAAAAAACTGCTGATAGAGAAGTCTGGATCTTTGTGGCAAACCTTTACCCCCCAAGGTAGAAGAGGAGCGACTAAGTAAGTAAGTAAGGCATCACTTATGTCCTGTGCTTCAACCCCGCTTTCCTGGAACCATGCTTTCTTCTACTGTTCTTTCCAATCCACTGTTTCATTTGATATCTTCCACTTCTTCAGCATTCCAAACCCTTGAGGTTCACTGCTGCAGATATCACTCGTCTCCACTCATCTCTCTGGCTTGCCTTGTAGGTCTGTCTAGATATTATGTTGTGTATACAGTTTTTAACCTCTGTGTCATCTGACATTCTCACAATATGCCCCAGCCATTTCAGTCTATTAGCTCTCATGCCAGTGATCAGTGGTATTGGAAACAAATTATGAGCATTGTTTCGCTTCTCATTCTCCATTCCCTCTGTTTGCATCATTGATGGGTGGGTCTTCTTTGATGTTAAGATCTTTTAGGATGTCAGTATTTCTTTTTTTTCTGAAGGTCAACCCGTTAAGTTTATTTATTCAAATGTTGAAGGTCAACCTAATTCATTTACATATCAAAATGTTTAAGGTCAATCCAGTCAGTTGATATATTCAGATATTGAAGGTCAACCCTTTTAATTTAAATCTGTACAGCTAAATATTTGAAGGTCAACCCATTTCATTTACATATCCAAATATTAAACGTGTAAATCTATAAAGCTATGTGAAGTTCAAATCATTTCATTTACAAATCAAGGTTTAGAAGTTCAGCTCATTTCATTTACATATCCAAATATTGAAGGTCAACCCATTTCATTAGCGTTTACCTTTTCACATCTTTACCACAGTGGAGCCCGTCTAACTGATTTATCCGAATATTTGAAAAGCAGGTCATCAGCCTTTTCGTTTCCCCATGAGATGGCTGTGACCAGGAATTGACTGTGATCTATGTGAAAGGGCTGTGGTCACAAAAAGTATGACAAAGAAATGTAACTCTCCTTTCAGTCTGAGTTATTTCAAGATGACCTTTACCCTGACACAGCTGCCGATGAGCCTGCGATATCTGCTGATGAATTCTTTGCGGGGAAAAATGCGAAACCAATCTTGGTGAGTTATGTGTGTCTTGGGTTGTTCTCCCTTGTGTTCACCAGCTGTAAACGGCAGTGAAAAGTTTCTGGTTGTTCATCCACTTCTGGAATTTAGTCTTTTTTTTTTTCTAGAACTTGATTTTTGAGTGCACATCCATTTTGCAGATCTGGCTAATTTGTATGCAGACTGTTGGTTTCTCTCTTCTGACACAGATGCACTCTGACTTTGAAGGAAATGCCCCTAATTTAATTAGTACATTTTTACTACAGGTTTGTTATGGGTCAGTGGGTCAATTCCGTTTCCCCCCAAATGGGGCCCCACAACCCACACGGAGTCTCACAACCTACATGGGGATGTCGTAGGTTCAGATCGGCGTTAAGTTGGATTTGTATTGTTGCTCTTGGCTCCCAGGTTGGTCCAGGCAATGTCCTGGGAAGTAAAGGAGGCCTTTTTTAAGTTGACATTGGAAAACAATCTCCTACAGTCACTAGATAGGGGAGATATAGTGGGAGGATTTTAAAAATCTCATGATTGACAGGATTCTCCCCCTACAGATTTATCACCCTTCGGTCCTTCCATTTTTTGACGTTCAACCAGTATCCCCAAGGAGGGAGCTTTTGGTTATAATTGTGACTAAGATTATTTGCACCATATTGAATGGCTTAATTTAACATTGCTGGCCACAGAGTAGACCTGACAAGGGTTCCTGCAGTGTTGATGCGATCAAGGGAGACACACCAAACTACTTATCACCCCTGAGATTAACCAAAACTAGACGGCAGGCCAGCAGGGCGGATACCCCATTGAACCTCTAAAGAGGTTGTATTTGGAGCTGCCCTTAGTGGCCACACCAGTCCGGTGTCACCTGCTGTAAAAGTAAAGAAGTAAAGGACCCTTTTCCACGCCTTCGGGCAAATAGGGCTAGACCTATATTTTATAGTCCAGTCGGCACTTGGCGGGTGATGTGGTCAGCATCACAGTTGACTACAGTCCAACGTGGTTAAAGCAGGGCTACTGTCCTCCCCCCCCCCCCCCAGATCTGGGTTTTTATTTGACACCTTGGATAAATCTGGGTTTTCTTTTAAATATATCCTTATATAAAATTGGTAAATGTTTCATTTCGTGACTATAAAATTTGTACAATTTAACAATCTGGGTTTTTTTATTGTGTTTTTTGTGTGTTGTTCTTTGTCTATGTACTGCTTGGGTTTTTGGCAGCCATGGACTAAAGATGTAAATGTGTGGGCGAAATTAATTTGCTTATGTAATTAATGTTACTGAAGGGAGTCATTGATACTGTAAGTGATCTCATAGAGCATCAGATAATGAAATGGTTTGGTCATCTGGTTAGAAAAGGATAAAATCAGCTAGAGCTAACTACATAAGAACAGCAGGCTAAAAGGCAAGAGGCTAACCAAGAAAGAGATGGGCGGAGGGAGTAAAAGAGAGACAACAGAAACATTAACATTAAACACAATCTACGCAGCTAACAAAAGTCAGGAAACTATAACTCCTCTCTGCGACACTTAACAACATAAGCAGTAAGACACAAAAAAAAGAAAATTGAAGGAAGCAGGGAGAATGGTTTAGAAAGCCTGGCCTTGGTTAGGTGATAGACATTTTTTTTCTGTTGGAGGTAAACATAAACATCTTAACCCTTCACATTCCTAAATTCTAAGGCTCAGACAAGACCCCCCCCCCCCCCCCCCCCCCCTAATCGCAAAAGTAGTGAATACAAGCAGAAATGGTAGTTATGTTTTTTCTTCTTTAATAAAAAAAACTGTATTTTCTGTTTCTATCATTACCTTCTCTTGAAGGCATCGATGAAAGACGGATTTGCATCATCCAACAAAGAGCAGCTCAAAGTTGTTAGAAAATCCAACATTCTAGACAAGATGCCTCCCAAAACCAGCCAGACATCATCATCCAACAACGCAGAAGCAGCAGCAGCCCCAGCCTTACCCACGGTAGGTAGAGGTTCGGTGCTATCTTATTTTGTTATGCTATCACAGTCGACATCACTGCACATTAGGGATTTCCATTGTGGTCATTACTACGTTGCCCACATCCACCCCGAGATACCTCTACTGATTATTTCCACGAGAAGTTGGTTACAAAGTCTCCTGTCTTGACCTCAGAATCGGCACTAGCATGCTTCACTAGGCTTCATTCTGAGGTTATGTAACCTTATTAGCATTTTAGCGACAGACATTCATCAGTATCCGGGTCCACACAGTGGTAATGATATCAGCTCTGTCCCTGCATCTTGCTGCATGCTCTGGTGCAATACCTGCCAGCTGGTCCGCACGTTTATTATATTTTACTCCAGGAGAGCCCAGGTGTGTAGATCTAGGATTGCCTAGGTGTGTAGATCCAGGAGTGCCCAGGTGTATAGATCCAGGAGTGCCCAGGTGTGTAGATCTAGGATTGCCTAGGTGTGTAGATCCAGGAGTGCCCAGGTGTGTAGATCCAGGAGTGCCCAGGTGTGTAGATCCAGGAGTGTCCAGGTGTGTAGATCTAGGATTGCCTAGGTGTGTAGATCTAGGAGTGCCCAGGTGTGTAGATCTAGGATTGCCTAGGTGTGTAGATCCAGGAGTGCCCAGGTGTGTAGATCTAGGATTGCCTAGGTGTGTAGATCCAGGAGTGCCCAGGTGTGTAGATCCAGGAGTGCCCAGGTGTGTAGATCCAGGAGTGCCCAGGTGTGTAGATCTAGGATTGCCCAGGTGTGTAGATCCAGGAGTGCCCAGGTGTGTAGATCCAGGAGTGCCCAGGTGTGTAGATCCAGGAGTGCCCAGGTGTGTAGATCCAGGAGTGCCCAGGTGTGTAGATCCAGGAGTGCCCAGGTGTGTAGATCCAGGAGCGGGGGGGGGGGGGGTTGTCTTGTTATGCTTTGCTCGTGTATTGTTATATTGGAAAGACCACTAGCTTTAACATTGATTCTGGAACATTCCCCATGTAGGTTCTGTGGCCCCATTGTGGTCAAGACAAGAACAGACCCACTGCCTCCCCAACACACCTGTCCTAGGACTCAACTAAATAGGTGACTTGCTTCAAAGTTGAAGTGCATCTTCACACGAGACAAGAAGCTAACTGCATACAGCTACGCTAGATCCTAAAACTGGATGTGCATGCCACACTCAGGTACTGAAACAAGACTTAAGTCCAGAAGTGGACGAACAACCAGAACTTTCCGCCGGAGTTTAAAGTCTATGAATGTGAAGAAGAAGAAAAGAAAAAGAGAATAGCTGCCACAATTTGACAATGGCAGCCAGAAATGACTATAACTGATTCCCCCTCATCTATACTTGTTGAATTTTTTTGCAGTGTTGTCATGAAGTTTTATAAGATTACTTTCATGTTTTTTTTTTTCTTCTATTTTATTTTTACCTACAAACTAACCCGCATGAATATTCATTATACCTGTCATCTTCCTGGGAGAATGCATTGTTAAAATATTTTTTACTTTAAAAACAAAGTTGTCTAGCATGTTTCTTATGTTTATTCCACTTAATTTTATATATATATATATATATATATATATATATATATATATATATATAAATACATACAATTCATTGTATGCCATTCATGACTTTTATTTGGAAGTGTTGTTTTTATTTATCTCTTGATTTATTCCTGCATGTGTTTTGTTTCAGAGATAATAAGAAGTTTCTGTTTTTTATGTTTTTTGTTTTTGTGTGGTAAGCTCAACCAGGATCAAGCAACTCCCTGTGCATTTGTTAGTTTTAACTGGAATCATTAACTGTTCTGACCTTTCTTTGACCTGCTCAGCTGTTACATTCAGCCCCCATTGCTCAGTTCAGCTCCCTCAGTCTTATAGTGCTATTATTTTAACTCTTCAAATCCTTCTTCTTAGCGTTTTACTGTAATGTAAACTCCTGTAGAAAGTTCTTGTCCAACTCACACCGGGTAGTCCTGTCCTTAACATGCAGTTCACGCCATCTTTTTAAATTCAGTCTCTTCAGCTTGTTGGTTCAAGGGCTAAATTTTGGAGAACAAATAATCCACTCCCTCCCTCCACACGCTATAAGAGGTGACTAATTAGCGTTGTTACCTTCGGAGTCGAAATGCATCTGTCCGAGGGGCAAGGAACCAACAGTCTGCATAAAAAAATAAGCCACATCTGTGAAACCTGTTTATACAAAACTAGTTCTGGATCAAGGTTAAAGTCCCAAAGTGGATTAACGACCAGAACACACTGCCAGAGTTTACGCCCGGTGAATGCGAGGAAGAAAAACTCAATCCATAGATCCTTTTTCTATGTATACAACCCATACTTATGCCATATTACACAGTAACAACTTTTGTGCACATATGGTAGTATCAGTTCAGGTTGCACATTTGAACATCAGAATTGTTAAAAAGCATGCTGTGTTACCATTTCGAACTCTAGGGGTTTGACCCGAAAGCCCTTTTGGATGACGTGCGAAAGCTCAAGCTGATTGTTAAAGCTCACGAGAGGCGGATAAAAACTCTGGAGGAAAAAATGGCTGAGTTTGAGAGTGAAGAAGAAACTGTCGACGACGCTTAACCTGCCTTCTTCTCACCAACATCATTTATCAGATTTACAAATGGTTCTTATTATGGTTTTCTTTTTAAATTTTTGAGTTTCTTGTTGTTTTGTTGGTTTCTGTGTTTGGGATCGGTTAGTTTATAGTTTCTGGTGTTGCTCACTCTGTGGCTTTGTTATGTGTTAGCTGCACTAAGTAGTTTTGTCCCCTTGTTGTATTCTGCTGTGGCTTCCAGGAAACAGGGCCTTATATTAATTTTTCCTTTAAAACATGCACTGGGACTTATTTTCAGAGGTCTTATTCTTTTGAGATACAAAAATCTAAATTTATTATTGTACAAAAATCTAAATTTATTCATTTACACAAATATTAATTTATTTATGCACACAAATCTACATTTATTTATGTACAAAAATCTATTTATTTTGTGAACAAAAGCCTACATTTACTTTGAAAAAAAATTTCATTTATTCATAAACAAAAATTCTACATTTATCTGTGCACAAAAAACCTATTTACCCATGTACAAAAATCTACGTTTATTGAAGTACAGAAATCTACATTATACATGCACAAAAATCTACATTCATTCCGGTGGCAAAAAATCTACATTTATTCTGGTCGAAACATCTATATTTGTCCTTGTTAAAATCTAAATTTATTCAGGTACATAATCTACATTTATTCATGGAAAAAATCTTGATTTATTCAGATACAGTCATGTTTTCTACTTCTGGAATATCGCTGCTTCTTTATTTCTCACAAGTGATTACATTGAATTATGAACCACATCAGTTCATTATCAAATGCACAGCGGTGACGTCTGTACAACATCTAATGGCAACAAGTCTTTCATTCTAGATGACAGTCTTAACTAGGGCTTATATTAAAAAAGCATCCTGACAGATTATGCTAGGGCTTTTTTGAGGGGGAGGTTTAGGCTTAAATTAAAAGCACCCTGAAAGATCTTCTTAGGGCATGCTATAGCTTTTTTTTTGGGGGGGGGGGGGGTGTATACATCTTTATGTTTGGGTTAGGGCATATATTAAAAGCATCCTGACAGATTATACTAGGTTTTTTGGGAAGGGGGGGGGGGGCTTAAATTAAAAGCACCCTGACATATTATGCTAGGGCTTGCTATGGCTTTTTGGGGGGGAAGGGGAGTGTACGTCTTTACGTTTGGGTTAGGGTTTATATTAAAAGCATCCTGACAGATTATGCTAAGGCTTTTTGGGGAGGATGTCTTTATTCTTTGGTTAGGGATTATTTTAAAAGCATCCTGACAGATTATGCTAAGGCTTTTTGGGGAGGATGTCTTTATTCTTTGGTTAGGGATTATTTTAAAAGCATCCTGGCAGATTATGCTAAGGCTTTTTGGGGAGGATGTCTTTATTCTTTGGTTAGGGATTATTTTAAAAGCATCCTGACAGATTATGCTAAGGCTTTTTGGGGAGGATGTCTTTATTCTTTGATTAGGGATTATTTTAAAAGCATCCTGGCAGATTATGCTAAGGCTTTTTGGGGAGGATGTCTTTATTCTTTGGTTAGGGATTATTTTAAAAGCATCCTGACAGATTATGCTAAGGGTTTTGGGATTGAGGGGTGCTTATTTTTGGAGAAACAGTAGTTGATGTTAGTATAGCATAGGGTTCAGTTCTCGGGCCAAGGAAGGGGGTCCTGTTTACCATGAGAAAAGGCATCCTTATCATGTTTTGTGTGTTAACTGTGAGGTGGTTGAATATTTAGAGCTCCCACTGGAGCATAGCTTCCTCCTACTATTGTTTCCCCTATTATCATCTTTCGTTGATTGCTGCCTTGTTGGTATTTGGGCCTCATGCTGGGTAGTTCTCATGTGAAGACAAAAGATATTGGACTTTATCAGGCAGAAGCATCAGTTTTAGCAGAAAGGAATTTGTGAAGATCATTTCCAGATACATTAGAACATCTTTGACTTCTGAAGTCAGCAAGCACATACACTCTACTGTGGGACTATTTAACGTAAGTTCACTCAGAAAGCCACAGTTTTGAAAATGGGTTGGTCATGGGCAGGAGACCCAAGCCCCAGCATAGAAAGATCATAAACACATTGATCCACAGGCCACTTGGTACACCTCTGAGGGCCACCTGTGGCCTGCGGGCCACTAGTTAAATAAAACTGTGCTACTATTTTTACTTCTTTCTTTCATTAGCTGCTCTCTCTTTCCGTCTTTGTGTATTGGGAATTGTTTTTGTATCTCTAATTTCACATTCTGTCGTTTTGTTCATCAGTTCTTTTTTTTTTTTTTTTTTTTTTTTGTCTCTTGCCCTCTCCTGGTCTCTCTATCCCTCTGCTTATCTTTGTTTCTCTTTCTTTTCCATTCTGTTCTAATGTTACTATGTGTCGCTCTTGCTGTCTGTCTGTGTATCTCTAGCTCTGTCTGCCCTTCTTGTTCACTTTCTCTCACTTTCCCAATCTTTCTTACCATCACTCTCTTTGTTTGTCTGCTTTTGTTTCTCTTCGTGTTTTCTCATCTTTTCTTTTCTCTCTTTTTCTCTGTGTTTTTCTCTTCCACTCTCTGTCTCTCTCCTCTCCTCTTCTCCCCCCCCCCCCCCCCCCCCCCCGCCATTCATATACACACAATTTATAAACGGATTTATAGGATATATTTATGAGGATATGTCTCTCTCTCTCTCTCTCTCTCTTTCCCCTCTCCCCCTTCTGTCTCTCTAATATCTCTCTGTTCCCCATCTACCCCTTTCTGTCTCTCTCTGTCTTCCCACTCTCCCCCGTCTCTCTCTCTCTCTCTCTCTCTCTCTCTCTCTCTCTCTCTCTCTCTCTCTCTCTCTCTCTCTCTCTCTCTCTCTCTCTCTCTCTCTCTCTCTCTCTCTCTGAAGTTAGTAGAAGAACCTACTTTTAAGCACATTTTTTGTTTGTCTTTTGGTTTCTTGTTGTGATGGTAACATCATTCGGCTTCACATGAGTGTGTTTCACTCTGTCTCATGTATCTGCACCGCAACTGTTTTCTTCCTGTTGTCATCACTGGTAACTGATTATGTTGTAATGCTTGACTTGATACCACAGCATTTGTTCTTACTGCCCCGCATTTGTTGTTTGTACATCTAACAGGTTAGTGAATGTGTTTGACAATGTCATGATCCTTGAGTAATGTGTTCAGTTTCTGCAACCAGTGGTTTCTTTAAAAAGAAAGGATTTTTTTTGCTTTTTGGCAGTGGTAGGGAGTTGCACGCTGGAAGTTTAAGTGGGGGGTTGTGAGCCTAAAAACACTTGGAGACATACTCAGGAGGAGATCGGAGCTCTTATGGTCATGTCTGATGTGCTATGAAGACGATCTTTAAATGAACAATGAACACTGGAGATGACAGAGTCCTGACTACGTAGTATTTCCTGTGACAGCAGTAGGCAACCGTCATTGTGGAGGCAGCAGTTTCTTTTCCTCTTCGTATTAATGTCAGAGAGCCTTTGTCAAGAAAGATTGACAGAACACATGACAGAAGGCTGTGGACTGTCAGGTTTTTAACAGCACTTAACAAGGGTTATAAGAAATGCTCATAAATATATATCTTCGTCATCATTGCGCTCCAGCACCTAGGTGGGCAAGGAAGTGAGCAAGTGATCGGCTTGCAGGTAAAGCTGGAGGGCAGATGAACAATGGACCAGGCAGACATTCTGAATGCTCTTCGAGAAGTAAAACATTTGCCAGAACCAAGTGATGACTGAATCTGCAATCATGAACAGACTGCAAGAAAAACATGTTAAAAGGGATGTGATCAGACATGAGCAATAAGCAGGAAGCCAAAGAAGAACAATAAACCAACACAGAACTGGTGTCTTAAGCTGCTATACACTGCGGAGTTTACTAAAGAGGGGGTCCAAGCACTTATGAACTGAATGGTTCGATGTGCAGTGAGAACAATCCATCGACTAAGTAACTAACTAACCTTCAAGTTTCTGTAGTCAGTTAGTTGCGTATCCTTTACAGGACGTTGCAGAATCAACCCCAGCATTTTTTGGCTGTTGTGGTTTTCTAAGCAAATTTATGTCCGGTAGTTTGCCATTGCTTCCTGGATGGTCAGCTTCTCGACACCACTGTCGAAACCAGTGCAGGGCGCAAGACCCGCAGCTAGGATCGAACCTGGCACCTGGGCATTACGAAACTCATTTGCAACGTCTAAGCCACAAACGCCGACCTTTTTGTAGTAAAATACAAATTTTTTTTTTACAGGATGTAGGATCCAGCCGCATGTCCTATCCTCCTTTCTCATCCGTGCTTGGGACCGGTAATGTTGGAGATCAGAATATATATTCTTGTTCTTCTTCAGCGTTCTGAGCCCCTGAGGCATCATTGATGCAGATTTCACCCATCTGCATTAGTCTCTCTGGTTGGTCTTCTTCAGCGTCCCGAGCCCTTGAGGTTCATTGATGCAGATTTCACCTGTCTGCATTCGTCTCTCTGGTAGGTCTTCTTCAGCATCCCCAGCCCTTGAGGTTTATTGATACAGATTTCACCTGTCTGCATTCGTCTCTCTGGTTGGTATTCTTCAGCATACCCAGCCCTTGAGGTTCATTGATGCAGATTTCACCCGCCTGCATTCGTCTCTCTGGTTGGTCTTCTTCAGCGTCCCCAGCCCTTGAGGTTCATTGATGCAGATTTCACCTGTCTGCTTTCGTCTCTCTGGTTGGTCTTCTTCAACATCCTGAGCCCTAAGGTTCATTGATGCAGATTTCACCCATCAGCAATCGTCTCTCTGGTTGGTTTTCTTCAGCGTCCCGAGCCCTTGAGATTCATTGATGCAGATTTCACTCGCCTCCATTCATCTCTCTGGTTGGTCTTCTCTTTCCAAGTGTTTGCAGGTCTGTCTGGTCATTATCTCTCCATCGTCTTCTTGTTTTGCCTCATGGTCTGTGATAATTCAAATCCCTTGCGTACAGTTTTACCTCTCTGTCATGTGACTTTCTTGCAGTATGCCCCAGCCATTTAAATCTATTGTCCCTGCTGATGCCAGTGATCAGGGTGAACAG